CAGCCAAGTCGGACGGACAGAGACGCAAGGACAGACAGACACCGCCGAGCTGGGTAAGCGGAGCCCCTTCGCCCTCTCCCTGAGCGCGCGCCCGAGACGGCTTCTCCGGCGCAGCCTCTCCAGGTCCCCTTGGGGTCCCGGCCCCGGCCACAGCTCGGCTGTGGCGGCGTGACTCCACGCGTGATCCGCCACTTTGGTAGCTGCGGTCTCTTGCTCGGGCTTCCGGGCCATCGACTCCGGAGGCTCGGGTGGTTCCGGCGCTCCGTGGCGCGCTTGCAACGCGCACCTGCCGGCGGTCTGCAGCTCTGGGGAGCGCCGGGGTGACGGGCTTGTCCCAGGGTTGGAGCCCAGAGAGGGCCTCTTACCATTAGCGAGGTAGCTTAGGGCGACTGTGGCTGGAGGCCGGTTGGGGGCGTTCACCTGGCGCTGTAGTCCCGGGTGGCCGTTGGCCTTTCCAGTGTTTCAGTGGACAGGGAATTGAGAAGGAGAAGGCATCATTTGCGCGGGTTCCGGGAAGCCCTGGGAGCGGTTTGGAAGCACTGTGGTTCAATGTTCCTGCCCCCATTCCCCATGGCATAGTGCCCAGCTGGGGCCCGGCCCCCTAGGTTTGAAGTGGGAGTTTGTCCAGAGTCCAAGAGGCTCTTTAAAGCTCATTTTCCTCCGTGTACTCTTTTTTTTTTTTTGCCCCACCCCACGAAGTGATAGGGTCTTAGAAAATCCCTGCGTCTTCCACTCGCAGGTCGTCTTCTTAAATGTTCACCTTTATCTAAATGGTTAAGAAGAGTCATTCTAGGGACCTCAAAAATGTCCACCTGTTTAACGTGACCCTTGCCCTGGGAGGAGCTACCTCTTCAAACATCTCAAGTAGAGGCAAGAGGGCGAGGAATCTGGGAGAAACTTGGGATACCAGGTCAATCACCACAGTCTGGAAAGGAGAGCTCATAGTTGTTGAGGGCAAGAGTGTTCAGTTCTGTAGAGAACCAAGACTAGATAACATAGCTCCCTAACCACCCACATGCACAACAGATAGCAGTGGTGGATGGGTTTGGGGAGTAGGGCTACCAGATATCTCTGGAGATTAGACATTCTGAGACACATCTATCCTTGCAGTAGACCAGGTCTATACAGTTGGCTACATGGGCTGGACCACAGGCAGGACTGGGCTGGCCACTTTCAACAGAGCTGGGGTCTCATGTTCAGCTCTCTGCAATTCCATACAAATAGCAGGCCTGTCATACCAAGCCTCTTTCCAAATCTTGAAACTTCACTCTTCCCTCTGGGCCGGCTCTGAATGTTAGGGCCTTTGGTGAGCACCAGTATCCCCAGAAGAGATTAGCCCTGGCTGGAGGAATTCAGCTGTTCCTAATTGAAATGCACAACTTTTTGTGCCATCACCCCAGAAAGCTCCCAGAGTTTTTAGCAGCCCTCTATCCTCTGACCTCCAGGCAGGAAGATAGAAGAATTCATTAACTTCTCTTCTCCTCACAGAGCCTAGTTTGAAGTAATTACCTGTGATCTCTGCTGGGGGGCCTAGAGGTGGAAAATTGAGAGAGGGCAGGAAGCCAAGGAAGCAGAGTGGAATCTGTCCTGCACCCCAGGAGGTTGTCTTCCCGTCTGTCTTCTACCTGTCATCATCTCCCTTAGTGCTAGGCCCCCACCCATCATGCCACAGCTTGCCTCTGCTGCCACTAGCTAGTCTTACCAAAAAGAACCTATCTCCTCTTTCTCACTGTTAATCCTGTCCAGAAACCTGTTGATAAAGGGGGGAGGGGGGACTATGAAAACTGATTGCCCTCTCCGTTCCCTTACTGTCCTTGGAAAACTTCATTGGGATAGCAAATAGTCTTGAAAAGCAGCAAAAAGGACATGGCTTTTGACCCACATACAGGGGAGACTCTGCTAAACAGCTTCGAGCCCTGAAGTGACAAAGTCTTAGATGGTTTCCTCTACCCAGGTCTGACAACCTGTCAAGGAAGTCTCAGCTGCACCTTTCCATTGCCAGGGCATAGGGACAAGGAACCCTCACAGACTGGATCCAAGCAGGGTTGAAGAGATGCTGACCTTTTTGCCTAAGTCTAAAGGAAGAGCAGACTGTGGTATCAAAAGACAATTGCTCAAGGCCATGCCATCCCAAGACTGCTGGTCCCTCTCAGAGCAGCTCTGAACGTTGTCTCTCCCGGTCTCCAGACTGCCAATGAAGGATTGCCCTCTAGCATTCTTGACCAAGAGAAGTTGCAGATGTGGTAGATGCTTAAGTTCAGCATCTGTTTTACAGGAGTTCTGTATCCAAAATAAGGTTAAGAAGCCCCAAAGAGCAGTCTCTGCTAGGCCCCTCTCCCAGGCCTATTACAAATACTCCTGATTATTCAGCTAATCTTTATTTCATGGGCATGTTACAAGGAGACTCAGGAGCAGGAGGGGAAGTCAGTGACATGCTTTAGATACACAGGACAGCAGCTGGCAGGAGCTTTAAGCTTGCCAGCGCAGGCAATCCCGAAATATTTGTGGTTCTGGAGTCATCACTGTTTGCGGAGCTTTATGGTTTCTGTTCCACCTTGCCTTCCATGATTGCCTCTGAAAGATCCAGGATTTGGTGTGGGGGAGGCAATTCCTGTTCCCAGGCCACTCTCCCCAGCTGTCTTCCTGCATTGCTACACAGCTGTCTCTGCACAGAGAGACTAGGGTACAATATACTTCTGTCCATCATGGCAAATGGAGAAGCAAGGAGCACAGAGCCAACCCCCACCCCCCAATCCCATGCAGATCATAAAGAGACGGGAGCATTGTGTTACAGTCTGTTAGCTAGTATAATCCTGGACTGCCCACAGGGAAGCAAGAGAAGCAGGCTTTGAGGTGCTAGATGCAGTTTTTACAGCTCATATGTATAGCACCCCAAAACCACCCCTTCCCCACATGGCTACCCCTCCCCCAAGGCTGTCTGTTATCAATTCATTCTATGTGAGTGTTCTGTTTCTTCCCATCACATATGCTCAGTTCAAACAATGATGAATGGAACTGATTCCCTTATGGGAAACAGTTTTTTCACATAGTTACAAAGATTTCATGCCTGATTAGAGTAAATGAGGGGTGGGTGTGCCATCCCCTGCTTTTTTTTTTTTTTTTTTTTTTTTTTTTTTTTTTTGAACCCCCATGGAGACAAAAAGAAAGGCAGTTCCTCCCGGGGTCAAATAGCTGGTCCCAAGGCTCCTGTGGGGGATGGCTTATCTGAAGGGGCTACCCTCTACTCAGCCCCCAGACTCTTCTGGGCTCTACTCCCTGGCATCTGGGCACATGGAACCTCTATGCAACTTCACACTGCACACTGCTCAATCTTGAGTTGGAGAGCAGAAATAGAGTCGAGAGTATTCTTTGTTGGAGTTCAAGGTCCCTTCAGAGTTTGAGTATAAGGTGAGAGAAGGAAGGGAGGGTGATAAGAATAGAGCTTACAATTGAGCTATTCCAGAAAGTTCCCTGCTCTAGCAGTTGGTTAACCATTAACCTGACTTGGTCTGGCCTCATCCCTCATCTGGTTAGCAGGATACCTCTAGGAAACCCTGAGAACCAGCAGGTGTTCTCCAGCGGTCTTCTCTTCTCCCAGCAGAGTGGTTGGTGCTACCACTCCCCTCTGTCTTCCTATAGCCCCTGGCATAATACCTGACCCGCTCACTCATGCTTTCCCTCTTCAAGCACCCCCGTTCTTTATCTGACCCTTTGTCCGGGCTTTGAAAGCTGTTCACATGGCAGGGTGCAGTCAGAGACAGAAGGAAGGGCCGGGAGAACTGATAAAGAGGACTGGATTCACACAGGACTCCAGCCAATGTGAATACAGATAGCTTTGGAAGTATAGATCAACCCATTAGACCAGAGTTTGCATGGAAATGGGGTAGCAGGGAATAGATCAGGGAAATTTGGACACAGCCTCTCGTTCTTCCTACCGAAAGCCTGGTTCACTATAGATTCTGAATGCCTCCAACCTGTGGTCCTGTTTTTGGTTTCTGAGGTTAGGCCACTTGATGGGAGGTCTTTCCAAAGCACTTAGTCCATCAGAGCTGCCTTGCTGAAGTCCAGAGAAAAGCAGCAGGAGGATGGAACATGCAGCTCAAGACACAAGCATGAAGGTTCACGTGTGGTGACAATAGTCTCAGATAAACAGAGACACGAGACAGAGGGAAGATAAAGATAGAGACTGATGTGGGAGAGCCAAGAGCCTCAGCTGAGAGCCAGCAACTGAGCCTCTGCCACAGGCTTCAGTCGGCTCAGAGCCTGAGACTCTGGGCTCCAGGAAGGCCAAGTAGCAGGTTATCTCCACTAGAGGGAACCCTTGAGAGCCATACTTACCTGGAACACTGACTTTTGTGCCTTTTTTGGGGGGGGGAGGGGGGCTATATTAGAAACTCCCAGCCATCACTACCCTGAGACCACAACTGGAATGGCAGAGGGCAGAACTGGCATTTTTCACCTCTGTTTGGCACAGAGGGGTAGGTTCA